GAGAAGGACAGGCGGCGAGATCTTCAGCGTTCTCTGCCAAAGGGGTTCCTAAGATTATCAGAAATATATGTTTTCTGGTGGTCTTTGGTGACCCCTCTGAAAACCCTCATGAACCCCACCCCCAGGTTGAGAAATGCTGCTTTAGAGGAATGATGGAATAGTCCGATATAAATGGGAAAATCACTACATGTTCACTCAAATAAGTACATTGGGACTTATTCCCACTGAGTGAGACAACAAAATGACAATAAGCCTTAGTTAGAGCAATGTGGTGGCTTTTGATTTTTTAAAAATTATTATTATTATTATTATTATTATTATTATTATGGTGGTGTCAGGTGCAACTTGAGAAACTGCAAGTTGCTTCTGGTGTGAGAGAATTGGCCATCTGTAAGGGCATTGCCCAGGGAACGCCCGGATGTTTTGATGTTTTACCATCCTTATGGGAGACTTCTCTCATGGCCCCACATGGGGAGCTGGAGCTGACAGAAGGAGCTCATCCGTGCTCTCTCCGGATTCGAACCTCCGACCTGTCAGTCTTCAGTCCTGCCAGCACAAAGGTTTAACCCATTGCACCACTGGGGGCTCACTGTATTCACATCCAACTGGTTTATGACATTTAGAGACTGAATTTTTACATCTTTCCTCATGCCTTTTTTCAATGCCAGGTCCATTATTTATTTATCGGATCTTCCTCCTGGTCCCGGGCATCATGTTCCTTTGTGGGATGGGTCTGCTGTGGGACTGCCTGATAAAAGCACGGAATCAGCTTGCTATCTCTGAAGAGGAGGAAATAGCCAGCGACCGGATTCAGCATGTCATCTCTCCATCGGATCTGAGTAGCAGCCTGTAATGGAAGTCCAGCCATTGTGATCATTCATGACAGAAACAACTCCTATGAATGTGACCCCCTGCTTGAGCTGTATGAATGGCTTGTAAATGCCTATCATTTTTGCAAATGTCTTGATTGAATCCTGATTTTGTTTTATTTGTTTCTTCCATCTCTCATGGGTGTATTGAATAAAGATTTACAAATTGAACAGGTCTTTCATTTTTGTTTGGTGATAAGCCAATAGCAATCAGGTTCTTTTCATGCCTTTAGTAGAGAATAGGTCAAACTTTTCATGATTATTGGCTACTGTCCTGCTATTCGGACTCCTTTGCAGTTACATTTTTTTAAAAAGATCTGCATCAACATCATTTCTATTTTGGTCATGTGTAGCTTTCTGAATCCTAACAAAGACTACATTTCTCTTTTAGAGAAAAATGAAGTCTAAAAATAAATTATTATTATTATTATTATTATTATTATTATTATTATGTGTTGTCGAAGGCTTTCATAGCCAGAATCACTGGGTTGCTGTGAGCTTTCCAGGCTATATTGCCAGGTTACAGAAGCATTCTCTCCAGACATTTTGCCTGTATCTGTGGCAGGCATCCTCAAAGGTTGTGAGGTCTGTTGGTAACTAGGAAAATGGGGTTTATATATTTGTGGAATGTCCAGGGTGGGAGAAAGAACTCTTGCCTGTTGGAGGCAAGTGTGAATGTTGCAATTGGCCACTTTGATTTAATGGCCTTGCAGCTTCAAAGATTACAGATTGCTGCCTGGGGAATTCCATCAGAAGAGCTGCAAGACCAAGAACAAGCCACAAGAGTAAAGGCCAAGATCCACCCAGAAGAAAAGTGTTCTTACCATACATCAAGGTAACCACTGACCGCTTAAGGAAGCTGATGGAGAAACACAACCTACGAACAATCTACAGATCCACTTAAAAAAATCCAACAAATGCAACGTTCAGCAAAGGACAAGAGGGATTCTTCTCACCTCTGCAGGAGTCTACCGCATACCATGCAGCTGTGGACAAGTCTACATAGGGAGCACCAAACGCAGCGCCCAAACACTAATCAAGGAACATGAAAGGCACTGCAGACTACTCCAACAGAGATGAACCAACCTGGACACAGCATATTATTTGAGAACACAGCATATTATTTGAGAACACAGAAATGCTGAATCACTCTAATAACCACCATGTCAGACTACATAGAGAAGCCACTAAAATCTACAAGTATGTGGACAATTTCAACAGAAAGGAGTAAACAATGAAAATGAACAAAATGTGACTAACAGTATTTTAAAAACTCTAAAATCAGGATAGTAAATAAAGAGCAACACTCAGAAAGCAGGAGAATTCAGGACAAGAATCAATCAGGGCCAGCTAAGACTCCCAACAAATGATTCCCCCAGGCAGCAATCAGCCAGGCTTTGAAGCTGCAAGGCCATTAAATGCTAATCAAGGTGGCCAAATAGTTCTTACTATCACCCTGGACATTCCACAGATATATAAACCTCACTTGCCTATTTCCAACAGACCTCACAACCTCTGAGGATGGCTGTCATAGATGCAGACAAAATGTCAGGAGAGAGTGTTTCTGGAACATGGCCACACAACCTGGAAAACTCACAGCAACCCAATTACTATTAATAGTACACATTAAGTTTTATGATTACTTCTATGCATTAATTCTGAAAATTGGCATCAAGGCTTCATGGATATAGGAGTTAGAATTGCTATGAGGTTAAATGAGGACTAGTGGTGATTGAAAAACATGAGAATATATGATGAAATATGCCAGGCAAATGTAAATATCAAATAAAAAACCCAAACACAGTGCTGATAATTCCTCCAAGCACCTAACATTTATTGCCACTGACAGAGTTCATTTGAACATTACAGTTAAGTGAAATAATAGAACAATTCGGAACATATGTTTAAATGGGATTCAATGTATATACACTTAGGGCAGGAAGAACACACAGCCTTACTTGTCGCAAATATTTGACTTAATTCACATTTTGGCACATTTGAGGGAGGAGAATTTGGTAGGCATACAGTTCTACTAATAAATATATTCATTCATACAAATCGTTACATATTCAGAGTGCACGAGGGAATCAGATCTGAAAATCTCAGGCAAGAGGAACAGCTAGCAAGGAACATTGAATTGAAAAATAAATAGTGGTCCTTATGTGTGTTTGTGTATATCTCTCTGTGTGGTATTACTGGGAAGAATTATGTGCAACCACTAGTATTCTGTAATAATAAAACTATAGACTGCTCCACATTTATGGATTTGACTTTTGCTGATTTGATTATTCACAGAAGTGTTTTCACTGGGAATCTTCATGTATTCCAGTATAATTATATGGTTAGCTTTCAGCAGATGTTAACCATAGGGTCATGTTAGGGGATCTAAATATTCATATAGTGTTCTCTGAGGTTTACCAAAAAATAGCCATTTCAGTAGGTAAAGGTTTTTCCCTGACATTAAGTCCAGTTGTGTCTGTTGCGCAGCAAGCTGATTCTATCCAATGTCCCAGGCAAAAGACACACAGGCAAGAGGAAAAAATGAACAGAAAAATCTTTACTTTTAATAGCAGAGATGAAACACAAACTTGCAATGCTGCATACAAAAAACAAACAATGCAAGAAACTTAGATAGTCCTTGTAAGAAACATAGAATAAGG